AAGTATACAATGAAATCACTTACCATCAATATAAGTGGGTCACAATTTATCTTAACCATTCGTTGTGAAACTTGATGGAAGCTGAAAGTTCAAAATAAATTTTATTGAACTTTGTGACATACTTAAGCTATCAAATTTCAAATAAGAGATTATAAGTAATTGTGACCTTTTTCTACCAGAGGTGAATGGTTGCATTATATACAAGCCCTACTAATTATTGTATATCTTTTAATTATATATGTATCGATTGTGATATAGAAATTACTTATATATAATAACATATAATTAAAGAAAAAGTTTATATAAGGTTGCAACCTTAAAATGTAGAATTACAATGTGCATCAAAGATCCATCGGAAAAGGCTGTTTTAATGTTGAAAAAACCTCTAATTGATCATCTCGACATTGAGATGTATGAATATGAAAGAAAAAAAAGATTTTGAGTCTAAAAAATAGTGCATCTTGCAACACATTATATAGATCATCAATTTTCAAGATTTTCATATGTTTATAGATCTACTTGATTTTAACCATTTTTCGAGTTTAAACTTTTATAGTTAGATATGAAAATAGATTGTGAGATAATCTTAAAAAAAACTCACCAAAATTACATGTTATGAAAAAATTTGGAGGTGCGCCTTAATTGGATTGTTTAAGGTTGCAACCTTATAAATTCACCCTTATAATTAAATATAGGAAAATTGTTTCATGTGGCGGGGATTGCATTTCTACATTTGCGATCCCCGATGTATAAAGCATCCATCTTAAATATGGATGCAAATGGGTGGTCCATTTAAAAATAATTGAAACTAACGGTCCAAATATTTTCTTAATAGAAATATTATTTTTAATTTTCAGTTTTTTTTGTTTCCATATTCATGATCTCCATGTTAGAGATTACATGTCTTTAAAAATTAGGTAAAAAAATCCATCTCAAAAATAAATCTTTAAGAGGTGTGACTCATTTCTACACGGACTCATAGAAACCGTGTCCTTAATTATAAAGAATCGTATACAATAAGACCATTTACCTTTGATACAGATATAACACAATTACTGACAACCATCCGATGTGAAATTTGATAACTTGGCTGTGTCATAAAGGCTCAAGAATTTATTTTGAACTTTGTGCTTAGTCAATGAAATAAATGCAGCCACCCAATCTCGCCTCTAATGATCATTGGAGGTGAGATTAGGTAGCTACATTTATTTAATTGATCAAGCACAAAGTTCAAAAGAAATTTTTTCGAACTTTGTGACACACCCAAGCTATCAAATTTCACATCGGATAGTTGTAAATAATTGTATTGTAACAAAGGTAAATGGTCTCATTATATGCGATCCCTATATACAATTACTATAATTATAGGGAAAGGTTTCTATACTTCCCTTACAGTATAGAAGATCTATGCTTCCCCACCACCCAGTTGTCCAATTTTGATCAAGAGAGCCACTCACAGTTTGATCTTAGATCCAACATCTTAAAGTATTTTATTTTTAGTTTTTTTTAGACTAATTGTATAAATATGAAATTTGGCACATGTTATATTCTCATTAAAGTGCACATATAAAAATATTAAAAATAATTTTTTGATAAAATATAATGACCAAAATACAATTTGAATCTTTCAAAAGTATTTTGATTATTTTATTTTATTGAAAAGATTTTTTTTATATTTTTTTGCTAGTGTGAGTTTAAAAAGGAGATTGAACGTCCAATTTGGTATCAAATAATTTATAAAAATAAATTAAAAATAAAATAATATAAAGCTTGACATTGGGATTGGGTCCATTCCGAATGGACGATTGGATAAAGGAGAGTAGATGAGTTTTATGTTGTAGGGGAACCATAGAAAACTTCCCCTTCCCTAATTGCATACCACCCTTGGCTGGACAGTGATAATCCGCACGATCACCCTTAACTGGACATGCGCGAAAAGATGAAATCAAAAGAAATTTGCTTAGAGAGAGAAAGGTGGCGGTCGACTGCAAATCTAGAGAGGGAGAGAGGACTGGTTTTGCACTCTTAGGGAGAGAGTGGGGGAGAGGGATTCGTCCCGGAGGAGGGCGTTGTGAAACCCTAACTGAGCACCTCTAATGGTAATGTTTCTCCTTTTTTTCTTCCTTCTATAATGCCATTAATGAGCCTGGTTTTTCTTCTTTTGCTTTGCCTTTCTCTCTCTTTAAAGTCTTTGGAGAAGAAAATCTTAGAGCGACGGAGAGTAAGTCAGTTTTTGGTTTTGCAGGAGGCTTCTACATCTTCTTGTGGGGGTACAGCAGCAGTAGGGCTGGAAGAGTGTTTGAAGCTTGTGAGAGGTGCAAAGGACGAACAGCGCCTCGCAGGTCTGCTCCTCGCCACCAAGCTCTGCAAGGCGGATGACGAAGCATCGCTTTTGAAGCTCTATGAAGCTGTTGGACTTCAATTCCTTCGCCGTCTTATGAGAACTGGTATATCTTTGATCACATCTTCCATTTTTTACTTCTATTTCTATTTATTTGTTTTCCTCTCTGCACTCTCTTCCTCACTTTATCTGGCTTCCTCTTTCTCTCTCTACCGTATTCATCCGTCTCTCTGTGTCTTCCTATTCCCCTGTTTCCTCTCTGCACTCTCTTCCTCACTTTATCTGGCTTCCTCTTTCTCTCTCTAGCTTATTCATCCGTCTCTCTGTCTCTTCCTATTCCCCTGTTTCTCTCTCTAATGGGGAATGCTGAGATAGATTTGTGCAATTCTTAGTAAAGCCTTATTTTCTTCTCTTTCCTGGAAACTTGTTAGGATTGGGGAAAGGAAGAGGTGAGGTTCAAGAGGAAGATAATCGAGAGGAATATCTACAGTTGGGAATTACTGTCTTTGCTGCGTTCTGTCGCGTGGCAGATATTGCATCATCGAAGGAAATCATTTCAGAAGTTCCTTTGGTTGTTGAAATTCTTTCAAATGATAAGTAAGATTCTTGTTCCTTTTGATACTCTCTCTCTCTCATGTGGCAGGTCATGTATGATTATAAGCATACATTATTGATATGCCACTACCAGATCTACTTGAACAAGAAAGTTCAAGTAAACGTTATAAAGCACCATTAGAACAATGAGTCACTGATATTCTATGTGGTATTATGCTGCAATGTGGATCATAGTTATTCTGATAGTACACTAGCAACCCCCATTTAATCTTTGAATTGCTGTATCTACTTGCAGGTTGGAACCATCTGTTATTGAGGCATGTTATGAGTGTTTGTTGTCAATAGCATCTGCTTCTGAAGATGGGTTTTCAGCATTACATAAATCTCGGGCCATGGAAGCAATTTCTCTCCATACCAACAGTTTGCGTGATGGTAGATACCTAACTTGAGTGAAAAGTTAATTATCTGATGTTCGTCCTTTACTTCTTTGTTCAAAATTGCATTAATTCTTTTGATGAATAACTTTGGTATTGGTATTTGTGAATGCTGATAGACTAGGGTCTATAAGGGATTTGTGCAATTTATAATCTATGTTAAAGTGCTGGTTAATGCATCAATGTATCTTCCTTTGCATATCCACATTATACATATGTACAGTTTGGAACACCGAGGGTCGCCATTCATAGCTGTCCTAAAATGTTTGGCATGTTATCACTAGTATACAGGTGCTAAGCTTTGTTACTCTTTGTGCTTCATTGTTTATGATAGGTGGCTCCTTATTTATCACATACATCTAGTTGCCAACAAAACTGATCTAGTATTCTATGGGTACACTGATGGCAATTTTAGAATGTAAACCATTCATTTGATGTCAATGTTAGAGGATGCTACCTGTGTAGGTTAGCGAGTATAGCCTTAGAGTGTTTTCAATAGTGAGCTATAGCCTGGACAAATGCACGTTTTTCTACCATTTCTCTAGGTGTGCAATGAACTACTACATTTGAAGTGTGATGCTGAGTGCTTTTCAAAGGCATAACATTTTGCTTGGGTATCCATTTTAGGTGATTCAAATGTCAAATCTCTCTAAGATTTATGACTATAACTCTAGGCTTTTGCTCTAATTTGCAGTGTTAAAAAACTCATAGCCTCTTATTGGGACTCATATAAGTTGCTTAGAACCAAAGTTCGGAAAATCGCCGACGGATTGGAAACTGTTCATACTATGGTTGGAATTGGTGATTTCACTAACATATCATATATTTATATGTGAACACTATATCAACCAGCTTGAAAAGCTTAGTTGGTGTTTAATGCTTGGTTTGATTTTCGAATCCCCTTATGGAGCTTCAATAGTAATATCCATCAAGCTTTTGTTTTTATTTATTTATTTAGTAATTGTTAAAAAGAGTAAACTAGGAGGGCTTGAACCTTTGACGTGGTTTGCTAACTACACACTCTAACCAACTCAGCTACTCTAGCTAAGTATTTATAGATTATAGATATTAGTTTATATTCTATAAGCTTCATCTCCATTTTCTTTTGGCCGATTCATAACGGGGATGGTGGGTGGGTGATCAACCACACAGATCTATGTTTTAAAATGCTGCTCAAAACTGGCACCCTATTGGTTTAGGATGAGCTAGATTCAGTTGATACATGCCTGATCTGAGTTAGCCTGGGTCTTAAAAAAAACCAGAAAATATTCTTCAAAAAGTACAATTTTCTAAAGACGAGACTCAGTGAGTTGACTCAAAACTTGGCAAGCTGACTTGCCCAGGGCAGTGGCAATGTACCTGGATTAGTTTTAGTTTTTAAACACTGCTAATTCATATTTTTTTTCGTCAAATCATGGTTGAAGGTGAGCTGAAAAATCGATTACGCATTTTAGAATTAATTAGGAAAGGTTGAGACTTTGAATTAATTAGAATTTAAGAAATTGACTCCATGAACCCTAGTTTTTGGTCAGTGTTAATGCCAATTCAATTCTAGGCTAATTTTTATGAGGTTTTCATTCCTTATATAAGTTAGAATTAGTTAGGAAAGTTTGAGACTTTGAATTAATTAGAATTTAAGAATTGACTCCATGAACCCTAGTTTTTGGTCAGTGTTGATGCCAATACAATTCTAGGCTAATTTTTATGAGGTGTTCATTCCTTATACAACTTAGGGTTTTTTTCTTGTCGTCTATCCTTTCCCTTGTCTTTTCTCCCTCTGTCTGACTACCCCACTAAAACCCAAAGAAAAAACTCCAGTTCCATCATCAAAAAAGTTATTTAAAGCCCTAGGAAAATGAGCCCCAACAAACCTTACTCAGGTAATTGTCATCCCTTGCTTCTTAGACTTAATTTGGTCTGATGGAAGGAGGTCTATTCACTGAAAGTTAGGTGATGTTCAATATTGAGAACATACACTTGGTGAACAAAGTGCTGGAAACCCATGGTATGCGGAGTAATGTAATTGTTCTTAGTTATGTAACTGACTAAGGTCAATTCGGTCCTGGATGGGATGGCGGTCGGTAGTTTGGGTGTTTGGGTGTGGTTTCCAGTTAGTACAACAATGGAGGTGTTATTTCTTTAGTGGTTGGGGATTGGTGTAGATGTATGTTTTGGATGTACAATGGTGCATAAAGACTTTCAATGGATGTTGTCTTATGATCAATACTTTGGTGAGAAACAAGATTGTTGGGGTTTAGTGTTATTTGTATGGTGCTACATGGTGGTTGTCCTCCCTTCAAAAGGATATGAATAAGGATGAGATTCTACCTATGGATGTCGGGTCTTGATGTTAGCCCCTATCTTCAGCACTCTCGATCGGCAAGATTCTATTATTTGGAGCCCCAACCCGTCTGGCACCTTCTCAGTATCTTCTTTCTACTACTCCTCCCTCTCAAATCTATCCCCGGCTCCCCTTCTCAACAAGTCCTGGTCCCTGCCTGTGCCCCACAAAATCCAAGCCTTCGTATGGGTTCTCCTGCAAGGCAAAACCCTAACCTTGGACCAACTTCAGCGTAGAGACCTCTCTCTCTGCCAAACTGCTGTTCTTTATGTCTTCAAGAAAAGGAAACCATCTCCCACCTTTTTATCCACTGCGAGGTTGCTCATGGCATTTGGTCCCTCCTTAAGGTTTTCCGCCTCCAGTGGGTGACTCCACCTTCACTTCAAAAGCTCTTCAGCTCTCTCTTTTCTCCACCTTTTGCAAAACAGGCTAGGAAACTATGGCAACTGTCAGTTGCCGCTCTCCTTTGGAGTATCTGGCTCAAGAGGAATTCCAAGATTTTCAGACGCATTTCTAGAATCGCTGCTCCACATTACAGCTCTTATTTCCCTCTGGGCTTAGCTCATCCCTCTCTTTGCTACCTTACCCATTTCCCACTACCTTACTAACTGGGAAGTCCTTTTGAATTTTTCATCCCCTCCCAATAGAAACACCCCAGTGGTCTCCCCCCCCCCCCCCCCCCGGGGACTTCCTCAAGCTAAATACGGATGGATCTTCATTTGGAAAACCCGGTCCTTCAGGCATAGGAGGCACATTGGCTGCTCCAGTGGAATCTTCCTCACCTTCTCGGAACATAGGCTCAACCACAGCTGAGGCCTTGGCTATTCTGGAAGGCCTCAAAAGAGTTTCGCAAGCAGGCCTCACTTACCAGGGACTCATCATTGAGTCTGATGCGAGCAACTCCATTACATGGGCATCCCACCAACACCAGCCACCCTGGCTTCTTCACTCACGTTTTGAGCACATCGATTTCCTGTGCAACTTCATCCCTCAGGTAACATTCTCGCCCATCCCAAGAGGAGCCAACGCTGAGCAAACTCGCCACAGGTGCACCCTAGTATCCTCCAATCTTGTTCTCTCTCCTCCCTCACTTCTATTCGTCTCCCCTCCCCTCTTTGGACAAGAACACACAAAAAAAAGGGAAAGAGGAAAAAAGGGAAAAAAAAAATAGGAAAAGAAAAAAAAGAAAAAAAAGGAAAAAAAAGAAAAAAGAGAAAAAATCTCAACGAAATAAGATTGATAGAACCTCCTCCACCATATTTTATCCCCGTTCTTAATAACCTCTTCATGCTTTGTCCCACGACAGAAGCTCTCTATTTCTCCACCTCTGTGCCCCCGTGCCCTTGTTTCTTGCTCCTCTTTTCTTCCTTCTCCTAATTCTACTTCAACTTCTTTCTTTCTGCCATCTCTATCTCCCCTCTCCGCTTCTCTCTTTCACTTAAGTTAGTCTCACTGCTCCCCTCAGCCTCATCTTTCATCCTGCTCTTCCCTCCTCACCCTTCAACTCTTTTCTTCCCTGCTCTTCCCAACCTCTTTTTCACCACCTCTACTTCCCCTCCTCCCACTTATTCTTTTAAGCTCGTCTATTTTCACCTTCAGCCTCATCTTTCACCCGGTCCCTTCCCCCTTCCTTCTCCCCCTTCGCCTTTCTCCCCCCCCCCCCTCCCCCTTGTCCGGACCCACTTAACTTCTGTGCAGGTCTTCGATAGACTCTTTATGTTTTGAAGATCACCTGTGTCAAGGACATTCAGCTCAACCGCAGGTCTTTCCAATCATCACCACTCTCACTTGAATCCTAGTTCCTCCCAGCACCGTCACTCTTAGGCGACATTGACCAAGATAGCCTCTCTTTCGCAGTGACTCATCCAACTGTGCCTCTCCTAGATTTTACCCCTTATGTTGTCTGCTTTCTATCTTTCGTCTATTTTCTCAACCCTTATCTCCTGTACTCTGAGCACCCATCCTGTGGGATGCCTCTTTCACATGTTTATTGTAATTTATAGTTTTTATTTATAAAAATTTAAAATTTCCTCAAAAAAAAACAAGGATGAGATAGAGTTGCAGTATAGCAACTCTACCTCCCTTGTTTTTTAGTCATTAAGCAGAAGGAATTGAACTTGCGACATGGTGTTGCAATCAACAACACCTTAATCAATTATGCTGGATCCTGAGTCCAAAAGAAGCTTCTGGTCTCTTTTGGTTAATTAATATATAATTTTTTGGGCCTGAGTCAGTATAGCAAGGAACCAGGCAGCACCCAAGTACGCTCACTGAGTCCTGACTTTGACCAGAATCACTGCTTTTATGAAAGACGTGGACAGTCTCAAACAAGATTCTGGCTACCTAAGTCCAAGACCCTGACAGTTCTGAGTGACTTGGGGACTTGCCAAGTTTTTAAACATTGGTCATAATGAAGAAGAGGGAGAAAAAGGCTGGGGGCGGTTCTTGGTTAGTTGGGTTTGATGGAAGGAAGCCATCCCATTTGGTATGCTTTCTAATTGTGAAGGCATGAAACAAAATCCCATGGATCATCTTCTCCATGTAGGTGTTATGTCTACGAAGACGCAATCGTCCATCTCATGGTTTAATGCAATTATAATTGGTCCTTTTGGAGAGATATTGAGCTTGTTTATTATGGTGTCTTATATTCAGTTATTTTTATTAGTTCAGTTTTTCTTTTTTGGCATTATTGGTTGCATGTTGGGGGATGTAATGGGATTGGAAGGGTTCAATCTTATGATGGTTATGTTCAGTGCCTAAAACCTTGGCTTGTTCGACTCAAACTCTCCTGAGTCTCTTAGAACTAGTACTCCGCAGGTTCCATGTGACCCTGACTCATGTACCTCAAGTCTTGAGCGAGTCTGACCAAGTCTATCCAAGTCATAAAAAAACCAATGATCTTGGTCCGAGTATTGAGTGATCAGACTTGGGATTGAGCTGCCCTCCCCTTGCTTGGTTCTGTGCCCAATTCCATGTTGTTAGACACTTGTCATGTTTCTATACAGTTATCTGGAGAATTATGATTCAAAGAAATCGCTTATTCCTTAGCCTGCTTGTTTTCTTCTTTGGAAAACAATGAGGAATTCATTCATTCCTTGTCTCTGCTTGTTTTCTTATTCTGAAAACAAAAAAAGAAATTGCTCATTCCTTGGCCCTGATTGTTTTCTTATTCTTGATCTTGCTTGTGCTTTGTGCAAGTTTTGATGAAACTGGCTTCTGGATTCATACTCTTAAACCCTCCCATTGGCTTTGAAGACACACAAACACTACCTTGGTCTCTCAAGAAGTGTTCCTTTTTAACCCTTTAAAAGGTCCAAAAACCACTCTCCTTGCCCACCTCTTTCTCCCACAGACTTATTTTGTTTTTTTAGATGGAATTCACTCCATGTATCTTATTCTCAAATATTCTGCTTTTCATTTATTTTCAGATCCTCCTGACGATGGTCATAAACATCGGGTGGCTGCTGATTTAGGATTATATGAACTCATAATTCTATTCTGTACTTTGTTGCTACTACCTGTATGTTCACTGAAAGATATAAATAAAGAAAAATGAAATAAGCCAGAAAGCCAATCTGCATTCTGCAAGAATGTTTTATGGACTAAATTTGTTACTTTTAAGGAGGGGGGGAGGGGGGGAATAAACGAGTTTTACAAACTGTTGTACTATGCAGGTTCTTCATCATTGGAGCACGTTGTGAGACTTTTGGAATTAGTGGTCAATAAACTGTTTGCAGGCAGCATAAATGTCGAATATGCTGCAGAGTTTGCAAGTGTGGTATGCCAAACAATTTATTTTCCATCTCAATAGTTTCTTAGTTCTTGGCCTGCTTCTTTGCTTCCTTGGGTTGCTATACCTTTTATTAGGTCTTCTACATTGGTATGTGCCTAACCTTTCAAATGCAAAAAAGTTACTGAACTTATTCTTTGGGTTGGCAATCCTTGAACCAAATCTTTTTATTATTTATATATATATATACACACACACACACATCATTATCATCATCATCATCATCATCAAAGCTTTTTTCTAATTAATTGGGGTTGGCTACACAAATCATGGTCCATCAATCTGCTCTATTAAGGTCCATACCCTCAATGAAGCCATTAGTCCCCATACCTTTACGGGAATGCCTTAGCATAAGCAGATATCACAAATTCCGGATCCATGGAAAGTTTTGACAAAGTTTTACGTTGGCTGCCTACTTAACACAACCCACCCTCTTTACATGGGCTTGGGACGGGTTACGGGAAAGTCTAAGGTCCTCACCCTTCTTAGACCAATAAATAAATATATATATATATATATATATAGGAAAAGTCTTCCCAACGCCTATAGGCAAAAATGAACAGTGATTTCGTCTACACTCATCACCATCCAAAGTTCATCGCACGGTCACAATTGTCCGGTAGTATTTCATTTCTAATTTTTTTTCTACAAATCGGAATTATCTGAAATTTGGAGTGTATGTACATCTTAGTGAGGCGCACGAAATAAAAATATGAAAAACATAATTCGTAAACAAAATTGACCAAAATACCCCTAAAACTTTTCGGGGGTATTTTGGTCAATCTTTTTCATGTAAAATATTTTTTTGACATTTTTAGTAGATTCCCTTATTTGTGATGAACACACGCTCCAAATTTCAGGTCATTCCGATTTGTAGAAAAAAAAATGAAAAATGAAACACTACCTGGCCATCGTGACCGTGCGATGAATTTTGGATGGTGATGGAGGTAGGCGAAATCATT